GTACCTTGCTTCTCTCGCCCCCAGACAGCAGCTGAAGTTTTCGTACAGGAGGATAAGTCGGCTCTACCGGTCTTGGCGAAGCAACATCTCGCTGAGGTGGAGGATAACTCGGCTCTACCGGTCTTGACGAAGCAACATCTCGCTGAGGTGGAAGCTGACGTCCAACTGGTCTAACTGCCACGGCCACGGGTGATCTACTTCTCAAGCGCCCAACAGGTAGTGGTGCAGGTGCCGATGCTTTGCTACGAAGTTGTAGAGTGTCAATCACTGGGCCTCTAGTGATCCTTCCGACAGGCAAAGGTAGCACACGTGGTACTGGGGGTCGTCGAGCAACTTGTGTCACATATCCGATTGGTACTGTAGCTACAGGACCAGAGGGCGCTTCACGTGCTTCTGCATTCTCTGAGTTCGGCGGCTTATATTCGCGAGAAAAGGCGCCTATAGGCATCATTGGCGTACCGGGTGTCGACATGGCTACAAAGGAGGCAGTCTTGTACCTTCTTGGAGTATAACAACATTCTGAATATCAGTCCCCGGTTTAGGGGTTTAAGGTTTAGGCAGTTCAAACCCCCCTGAACTCTATCTCCCAGTACAGGACTTGAGCCAACTATTGCATCTTCGTTCCGCGCTGAAGATCCGAGCAGTGACAGCGAACTCGGGGCCAGACCTCGCGAGACTGTTTATGTATTTTGATTTATCCATATATACAGTGTATGCTAACAGATAGATCATACATGTATATAAGCACATATGAAAACACATTTACATAGTGGGGCCTGGGGTTTTTGTTATGTGTTGGAGATATGCGAGGAAAGATTGAAAGATGACGACGACGATCATGATGAAAATGACGGCGACTACGATGGTGATGATGCTGCTGTTGTTGATGATAGGGTGAGGGTTGTGGTATATTGTGATGACGTGAACTGATGGAGTGTGTGCGTGCGAGTTCATGTCTGTGTTCGTTTGGCATTGCGACGTTCCATGTTCTTTCCGACAAAACACAAAACATTTAAGTGTTGCACTCGCAACATAAATGTTTTGTTCCTTTGCCGAGAGGACCATGGGTTCATGATCGTTGTTGATGTATTGGAGGTGCAGCAGCAGCAGCGTGTTGGCTGAATGTGTTTTGCCCTCACGACGGAGCAACCGTGTCTTTCACGAGCGATCCCACTCAATCTTGGCATCTCTGAGAGCCGTCAACACTTTGTACGCAAGACGGCGCCTCTTCGCATTATGAAAGCCTTCATCGAGTACAAGTTTCATGCTCTCCCACGCATCGTGCCAACCTGTTGTCCATGTTGATGTGTCCTGCTGCCTGATAATCTGCTTCTTCCGCTCAATGGAAGCCTCACTGGAGCTTGAAGTTGACGAGCTGTCATCGGAATCGGAATCGTCACTGCCGTGATCCTCGTCTTGGTTGTGCTCCACCGCCTTTTCATCGTCGTTGTGGTTGTGCTCGGTCGTGTTACCGGGATCCATGACCTGACTCTCCTCGTCACCCGCCCCCTTCGCGTCCTCAATGGCGAGCGGGGCATCCAAGATAGCCTGGGGGATTGCCTTGGCGATGCGCTTGCGTTTGGCGAGCTGCTTGAGGAAGATATCGTTGGCCTCGGAAGACCAATCGCCGTTCTTCCCGATCGTGATCTTTAGGGCCCTTTGCACGTTGTTGAGCATCGTGCCCAAGTCCTTGGAGGACATTGGCAGCCGCGACGGATGAACCTCCACCTCATTCTTCTCGATTGCGCTCATCATGGCCGTGTCGTTGCGAACGACTCCCCATGGTGGAGCCGTGGTGGCTGCATTCGCAGTCGTTGAAGCCGATGAGGTCGGCGCCGAAGATGAGGGTGCATCAGGAGTCAAGCGTAGAAAGGCCTCGCCATCGCGAAACATGACCATGCCGGACACTGCGCTGCTCCAGTCGCTCATGGCGATCACAGACCAGGCTTGATTGGCTAGATAAGGCTTGGGGACGTAGCCTTAAGTATCAGGCGCTGCGGAGACGCTCACAGTCCAAGCATACACGCGGGCATGCAGCAAACAATCAAGCGCTGCGCATCGGCTCACGGTGCAATCATACACACGGGCATGCAGCAAACGATACAGGATTGAAAGTGGATTGAAGGATTGAATTTCAATCCGAGCCCGGATCCAAGATCCAAGATCCAAGATTCTCCCAGGAGTCTTGGGACGGAATCTTGGATCCGGATTGAAATGGATTGAAGGATTGAGTTTCAATCCGAGCCCGGATCCAAGATCCAAGATCCAAGGTTCTGCCCCAAGAGTCTGGGAGAATCTTGGATCTTGGATCTTGGATCCGGGCTCGGATTGAAACTCAATCCTTCAATCCAGATTCAATCCTGGGACTATTGAAATATTGGGCCGCATTGGCTTTCAATATGGTTGGTTCATTGGGTTTCAATGTGGTTGGTTTGTGCATGATGAGGAGATCGCGAGTGGCAGAAAGCGGTAGAATGGTCGCGAGGAGATGTTTGTAAGTGGAAAGAGCTAAAAAGAGAGTAAAAACATACGTAGATCTTTGGGGGGGGGGGGGGGGGGGGTACCATATATATATATATAGATATATATATGTGTATATGTTATATGTATATGTATATATATTATATATATGTATATATGTATACATGTATATATGTATACATGTATATATGTATATGATATATGTATATATGTATATATGTATATATGTATATATATATGTGTGTATATATGTACATATGTTTGTATGTATATATGTATATGTGTACATATGTACATATGTATATATGCATATATGCATATATATATATATATATATGTATATATATATATATATATATCACGAACGTTGGATGAAGTTGTAATTTCCCTGTATCAAATATTTTGGCTTGTCCAGCAAATCCAAAATGTAGGGTGTGAGTTTTGTTGTTTCCCTGTTTTGACAAGAAACAAATGTCAGTGTATGTGCAATTGAGGACAGTCGAATTACTTCGTACCCGTGAGTTGGCTCCACAGGGTGGTGGGATTGTAAAGAAAAATTCCCGCATAAGCCCGTTAAAGTATTTGTGTCCCGCCTAACCCACCCTGATTGGTGCACAAGTTGTGCTGCCAATGTTTCGCGATGTGCAGGTGGCACAATTTCCGTATGACTTTGTACAAACATAGTTTGTGCTTGACTGTGACATGTTGTGGAAGAGACAAGAGCAAGGGCGCCCTGGGCTCGAGCCCAAGGCAAGGCACCGTGATGCCCCCATTTCGAAGCAAAACAGAGCAGTGTGTGCGAGTTTTTGTCAATATGTTTTTTGAAGGACATTGGGTTGATGAACTGAGATATGCTCAGTTGGATTGAACATATACATAAAGAAACACCCGGTTGACACAATAAGGGGAAATAAAGTGTCAGTGCTGGATATTTGCTGCTTGTCTTGAAGCCATCTTGGAAGTTTGGCGCTTCCCGGACATGAGCCAGCAATCAGGACCGGAAGTCCAAAGTGTTGTTGGTCGAGAAATACATTTGCCCACAACTAAGATCATGACTGTTCCGAAAATTGCGAGTTTGGCTGAAAACGAATGGATTATATAGCTTTTGTAGCCAAGTCCTGCAGTTCTGTACGCTCCAATGTGTTCGGGCCACCGGAACAGTTCTGAGCCTTCTTGCACGTCCGTCGACGGCGACCATTCCGGCGGGCGCTATCTGTCAGACCGCTTAATGTCCAGATGTCCACAAGTGAAATACTGTTGCAATTCCAGCCTTGTCGGGGCAAGGCTAGGATTTTGCACAAGCAGCCCGGACGAACGTGTTCGAAACTAGCCGTGGTAGAACAGCCTGCGGAATTTGCTTTCGATCGGCATGGGTGAAAATGGCTTTGATGTGCCGCGTGGGGTCCAACGTGGGCTGGTTTGGGCCGAGAAAAAGCGAGATAATGCAACAGAAGATTCGATCGGTCTCTCGCAGGTAGGTTCGCTTTGTTGCTTTGCCGCACTCTCTGTGGCAGCATGTTCTACGTCACGAAGTCCAACATCCCACAGATCGAGATGCGTGGCAGATTTCAAGCTGTTCTGGGCGGGTAGCGGTGGCTGAGTGGCTGACACCTACAGACAGTTTGTGGTATTTGATGAAGCGCAAATCTATCCTGATATGTAATCATCAAAACCGCAACTTCGACAAGCCGGCGATCCCAAATGGGATGCCAGGTCAAAGACGTGCGTTTGAGCTGTGATGTCCATTGAAAATTGTGCGAATGCGTTGTATGGCCTTAACCAACAAGCAACGACGGAAGGAGCCGCAGATTCTTGACCCGATGTGGCGGAATTCAGCCAAAGTTAAGTCCTGGGAACTTCACTCTGACGGAAAGCTGTGTCTGTGGAGCCATTTTTGTGAGTTTTGCTATCCTGCTTTGGCTCAACAGCTCGTTTGTCAATATTTGCCTTTTGCCTTCGTACTCCCGCTCCGCCTGAACGACATGCGTGGAAGCTGAACGACGTGCGTGGAAGCTCGCCAATCCTTCCCGTGGTGGTGCGTTTACCACCAGTGCCGCTGCCACCACCACCACTGCAGGGTAGGGTGACGACAAGATGCAGTTCCTCCAGGTACACTTCATGTAACCTTTCGCGGTTCGCACTCGATTGCCCTCGGCTTTGGCCTCCTTGTCACTGACATGAGTATTACCAAATGCATCGTGTCGGCGATTCCGTAGAGGCAATACGATAACCTAGGTACTGTGTTTTGTTTTCGTCGTGAGCTGCGGCCTGCCACAGATTCATCATGATCCGAAGTCGTGTCGCTCGAGGATTTGTGCTCGATTTAGCCCGGAATTAGGCTTGATTTTCTTACAAGAGCTGTGCGGGATTCAGCAGCTAAGATTCGCACATGGGTTAATTTATTCGCACGCATGCATTCTCAAATCATCACTGAGCAACAGTGCACGCAACAGCAGGACAAGTGTGGAAGCACATGAAGTCTCCATCAACGGGATGTCTCCCGCAGACATCGGCAGACCATGCCAAGTTCCAGGCGTTGGCTGATCCTCCAAGGTCCAGTGTTGCTCTCAGCGCCTGCACTACCACCTGCGCGATTCGCATTACTTGCAAGCATTTGGCCCTGGCTCAGCTTGGGCACGGGTGACGAAGATTGCTTTCGTGGGCAACCTTGGCTCAGCTATGAGACGTGCTGCCAGGATAAGTCGCAAGAAGAACTTTGCTGGGGTGTTGATGCAGAAGGTGTCGGCGAGTATTGCTGTGGGCGTGATGTCCGTCCAGGAGCCCGCTCGCTCTTCGCAGCAGAGCTGTGGAATCTTGTTGGCCATATCATTCTGGAAGTTCAATCTGCCGTGGATTGTGAGTTAGCAACGTGGCAGGATGGAGCATCTTACAGGTGTGAAAAGGCTTTGTTGGCCAGGCTGGTTCAGTTGGACATTGTTGACGCTAAATGGGTCGTCAATGTATGGCTTCCCTCCATGCATCGAAGGCCCGGAAGGACTTCTGTCGAAAGGCTTCACTTTGCCATGCTCCTATGCCAAACATTTTTACATTGGCGAACTGCAGCAGTCGTGACAGAAGCACTTGAAGGTGAATTTCTGACTCCGCTTCGAGTCTCTCATGCGGCAGCAGCTGACGAGCTGCATCGATACTCATTGCAAGAAACAGGTAGGAGTTGGTCCAAGCAGTTGGCACTGCTCAGGAGTGCTCCACGTGACCTGGGTGTTGTTCATCTGGGACTAGTTGCATCTGTGGGCGAGCCGGTGTTCGCCTTCAAGGCCATGGCCACAATCCGCTCAGCCTTATTTTTCGCACGGCAGAGAAGGCTACACTTCCACCTCTTTGTAGATGCTGCTGGTGAGCGTGCCATGCGCTACTGTCTTGACGAGCTGCAGCAGAGGGAGCCAATCTTGGCATCTCGTGCTGCGGCGTTTGAGCTGCATGGAGAAGATGTGTTGAGCCATTTCTTCAAACTCCTTCAAACAAGCATTGTACCGGGATGTCTGGGGCAAACACAGCTCTTTGGTGATGCCGGCTGGATTCGGCTTTTCGTTCATGAACTATTCAGAAGTCGTCCCGAGGTGGACTTGCTAGTATTTGTAGACGCTGGAGATTACGTATTTCTCGAGGATGTGTCGCGGATCCTCGTACAAAGACAACATTTCAGAGCATCCCAGCTTGCCGCCTCCCCACGAAACGGAGACATGCCTTTTCAGCTCTTGGATTTGCCCCGAATGAGGCACCACGGCTTCACCAAGATCCTTTCGGAGACGGTCCGAGAGGGCTTCGAATCGGCTCCTTCCTACTTTTGCAGCCTTGGGGAGGGCGCCACCACCAAACACCTCGCTTCAAACGAAACACTGTGGCATGTCTTCGAGGAACCCTGGGTAGTCGAACCCCGGGAGCACGGAGGCATACAAACTCGAGGTGGCGGCGTCAACAACTTGTGGAACAAAGAAGTTGATGATGCCATCTGGAGGGATAGGGTCTATCCAGGGCTCTTCGACTGGACAGTCTTAAGAATTCACTGCCCGCTCTTTTTGGAAAGTTTTTTTGCAACGACCTTGGAAGGGAAACTGCCGCCAAGTCGCTCACAGTACAAATTTCTTGGATGGGCCGTCCGCGTATATCATCGCGGAAGCGTCAGCAACTCGACCTTGGAGGCGTCAGGCTTGCACAGCGGACATCTCAGCTACGTCCGTTGCAATGAGAAGGCCTGGGGCGTGCATTTCACTTCGACCCTGAAGAGTGTGCCGTGGGGCAGAAACTTCCTGAATTTCTGGGCGGGCGCTAAAAAGCTGGGTCGCGGCGAGGCCGTCGCATGGGGCAAAGATGAGCAGGACTGGCTGCAGCGCTCGCTGGCTTCGGCTGCGACTTTTTCCGAGCGGAGCGGAAAGACCAAAATACCTCCAAGTCATTGAGGTCCTAACGCCGACCCGGCGCCCGTTGAGGTTTAGAGTGTAGGTTTTGCGACGTTATCCATGAATGCCGTTTCCGTGCCTTTAGGTGACTGAAGCGAAGCCCCCAAGGCAAGGATCGAGCCTATGTAGCTTGTAGCTGTAGCTCTGGTTTGTGAGTTGTTGCAAGGATACTTGCACCCCAGCGGTTGGATTCTCGAGTAAATCAAGCCTCAGTGGCGGAATACGGATGGTAAGCAGCCGCACCAGCGCTGGTGTAGACGGCTGGAGTCAACCGCAAAGCCCCGCTCCATATTTGGTAAAGCATTGTTGAAGCAATGTCCGTGGTCTTAATGCCGCAAGCCGCGGGGGCAGAGCTGCGCACCGTTTTGGTCTGCAGTGTGCTCGCCCCACCTTGGTCCGAGGTTCTCATAACATGAGTCGTGTATGCTGTGGTGATATCCGCTTCGTTTGAAGTGGCTCATGTGTGGGTAATGTTTGCAAAATGGTGCACGTCACATAAGACGTGGTAACGATTCCCGCCAGCGCCTGAGCCTCTGAGCCTCACGCCTGCATGTTGGCTTTGTAAAATCTCCGTTGCTCAGGAAATGGAAGCTGACACACCAGGGCTCGGTGCCGAGCCGTCGCAGAAAAACATCAGCAAATCCCCCGACGATCAGGTTCAGGACGAAGGGTTCCAGAACTTGGAGGGTTTTGGCATTCTTGCTGCCGCGCTATTCCGGGTTCGCAGTTTACGTACGGTCAGAAGGTGTTGGGCGTGAGTTTGGAAACACTCGCGGAGTACATGTAAGGAGCGGATTACCCAGGATTGTACTGTATTTGTAGCTTTGCAGTTCTGATTTGCTTAAGAGGATGCCTTGGAGTCCATCCTGTCCAAGAAAAATCTGGTCCGAGACCAGTTCTTGGCAAGCAAGATGAACCCACAGATGTGCGCCCCGGCTTCGGAAGCTGGAGCAGCCCATCAAGGCTGTGTTCCTGGAGGTACATCCCCATCGCCGTGTTGCTTGTGCACCATCGTTTACAAGCTCTGGGTGCGACTCATGACCAGGCTGGATGGTCTTTGCTTACTGACTGCCAAATACTAGGCTTACTAGAGCCGTGGAGGTGGCAGCTGCAGCTGCAAAGTCCAAGCGCCTGGGTGTGGACGACCAGAGAACCATGGCCAGCCGCCACAGAGTCAGAGGATTTGCCACTGACGTTGTGTTGCTGGCACGGAAGGAACTCTGAGTTGAATCGACCCAGGTGCGGCCTGTGCTCAAGTCCAAGCGAAATGTTGTCATCCTCCGTGATCTTCCAGAGGGGACAACGGAGGACTTTCACTGCTGTGGGTCGTGTGCATTTCCGAACGGCCGGTGTTCTTTCCTGTCCATGGTATCATTTGCAGGAGGAGATCATGCAGCTTCTAGCATCTGGGCCGTATGCCGAAAACGTTGTTAGTGTCAAACCCGAGGCCAGCAACGAGTTGTTGAATTTAGGTCCTTTCGCAAGTTTGATCGCTGTTGGCAGGTGAACAACACCTGGTTTGTGAAATTCAACGTGGACGACGGTGCCCAAGACGTAGTTCTCTGGCTTCGTTCACAGTCCTTCAAGGTCGGTGCCTCCGTGTTCATCACCGGTGTTGCCTTTCGTTCCACCTGCTCCGCCCTCTCCTTGCAAGGGGAAGCCGCTGAATGCTGCAATCAAGTCAGAGCACTTTCTCCGCAGCTTCTTCCCGGTGAACGCAAACTTGGGCTTCGTGCCGCCAGGGCTCCACTGGCTCGTGCTCGTTTCCCCATCCCGGACCCCATCCAAGACCAAGATCTCCGATAGTTTGACCTGCAAGCCCACTGTTCCGATTGCAGACGTTCTTGCCTCTTAGCCAGCGCCTTAAATTGACTGGTCGCAAGTGCCAGGCTGCCCCCAATGGAGCAAGCAGATGGCATGCCTGACATGCTCCAAGGCTTCCCTTCAGTGTCTCGGTTGAAGCCACAGCAATTCGCTGACGGCAGTACTTGCAGCCAGCGCCAGCACCAGCACAAAGTCATAACCAGCAATGCAAGTAGGTACAGCAGACATCATAGAAGTTCAGGAACACATATCAGCAAACATGCAGCATTTGTAGTGGTAGTGCCAGTGTTAGTGGAGGTGGCAGTGGCAGTAGCTGTGGCAGTAGCAGTGTGTGAGTGTGTAGTATGTAGTGACACTGGTGGTGGTAGTGCACGGTGGTAGTAGTAGTACTAGTAGTAGTAGTAGTAGTAGTCGTCGTCGTCGTCGTCGTCGTCGTGGCAGCGGGTGGTGGCGGCAGTGATGGTGGTCGTGGTAGTAGTAGTAGTAGTAGCAGTAGTAGCAGTAGTAGTAGCAGTAGTAGTAGGTAGTAGTAGTAGTAGTAGTAGTAGTAGTAGTAGTAGTAGTAGTAGTAGTAGTAGTAGTAGTAGTAGTAGTAGTAGTAGTAGTAGTAGTAGTAGTAGTAGTAGTAGTAGTAGTAGTAGTGGCAGTGGTAGTGGTAGTGGTCGCACTAGTGGCAGCGGGTGTGGTCGTGGTCATATCATGGAAGAAGTCGCAGCCTTTGTCTAGTAGCAGCATTGCAGTATAATTTATAGTAGTAGTAGTGGTTGTTGTTGTTGCTGCTGCTGCTGTTGTCGTTGTTGCTGTTGTTGTTGTTGTTATTGTGGCTAGCGGTTCGCAGAAGGCGTCTTAGCTGTGCTAACTGGGCGTCGGGCGCAACTCTAAAGGTTTGCAACAGGCTCCTTGCGAAGCGTAAGGGACGTCCTTCTGCCTGAGCCGTTTGAATGTGCCTCGGAGCTTCGTGCCTCTGTGGACTGCCGGGTCCCAATTCCCGGGCCTCCCGCCAAAGCAAGTTCTGGACAAGCTGGAGGTAAGCGGTATGGTTTCCACCTTTCCGTGCGGTGGAGGGGGGGGTATTTGGTTTTACACCAGGTGTTGCGAAACTAGCGGATGGCACGCCGACTGTGCCTCAGTGTTTTTCTCCCACTTGTGCTTGTGCAAAAGGACCTGCCGCACCAAGCCAGTCAAGGAGCAGTTCCAGTCGTAAGTTGGCCGTTTACTGAACTTGGGTACCTTGAAGGAAGATTTACTTAGGCCCTTCGTTTTTTGAACTTTCCTAGCAAAGGTTCTTCGTTTTCCTTCCCTAAAAATCCTATAGGGGTTGAGCGGCTTTCTCAGTTCGTTTAGCTCGGTTTCTGTGCTTCTGTTTAAAGTTGTTGGCTAGCCCGACCTCGGAGCAAAAGGAGTTTGGCTCATTGCTCCAGAAACGGATGAAGGAGGTACCTGCGATGATCGCAGGGCAGTCCCATCGTGCCGACACAATTTTTGTAAGGACCTTTAAGGCCGCATTACCTCTATTGGAATGTCGGCAGGTCAGCTACGAAGGGGCTTGTTGTCGTTGTGAATAGTTGTTAGTAGTTGTCAGCAGTGATGGTGGTAGTCGTGGCATTAGTAGCAGCAGCAACTGCAGTGGTCGCACAGTAGCGCTAAAATAGCCGTCGAGTCCTCGATCCGAGCCAAGCCTTGTTCGATGGGAGACGTCCGAGGCCCAGTTCGGAGGGAAGGGCCTGGGATATGGCCCAGATCTCCCACCTCCGGGCATGCTTCGCGCCCAGCATCTTTAGCACGCAGCCAGGGCAAGGGTGGTGAAAAGGAATAGATCGTCAAGGTTCATGTATCAAAGGTGCTGTGCAAAGGGCTTTGCACGGCTTTTTGACTTTTTTCAGCCTCGTTCACATTATGGGTTGCAGGACTTATTCGCGTGTTTGTTGCTTACATGACTGCATGGCAGGGGCCATCCGCTAGGGATGATGATGCCACCCGAGGCGGGGCGGAATTGCGGGTCCACAGGGATCAGAAGATATTAGTCTGAAATTTTGGGCCTTCGTGGGCTTCGTATAGCTTCTCTGCGATTCGCCGATCGGGACTTCAAGATTTCAGGCTGGGACTTGGGTGGTTTTTTGCATTGACGTGCACACGCTGATGTGAAGCACAAAGTGCAAGCTTCAATGCTGCTTTATGCAACTGGCCGCACAAGCTGCTGAAGTTTGAGCTAAAGACCCTTCAACCACACCGCTTGGCAAGTCTGCAGACTCCAAGGGCAGGCCAAAGTTCAAGCTATACTTAGAGCGTTCAGGAGGGTTGGGCCTCCAAGTGCGGAAGAGCGGCTGACCAGTCTTGGCTGCGCGAACTTTGACAACCCTCGCATACATCCCATTGGCGTGCGAGGTGCCTCTCATGCAGCCGTTACAGTACGGGCTGCAGGGCCCAGGCTCAGTCTTTGGTTGAGTGCAGTTTGAAGCCAGACACAGTTCCTTGTCTTATTAAGATTCCATGTGCAACTGCCCAAGCCTGGAGAGTCAACTCTACCTTAGGAGATGCGAAAAGGTGCGGTTTCGACGGAGTTTGAAACTGTTTCATTCGCTGTTGACCAGGCTTCTGGAAGCCATGGGGATCTCGCTTCAAGCAGCCTCCACTCGTTCTTCCTGCCAACGGTCTAGAGGCACTGAGTCTGCGGTCGAACAGGAGTTGTTGGTTTAGCCAAGCCTCCCGGGCCCGAGGTTTAGGGTTTAGGGAATTCGGGTTTTGGGTTCGTGGTTCAAGAAGTTTAAACCTTCAGTATCACAGAAGGTCACACTATGTTGGCTTGTCACTTCTTTTTGGATTTCTCCTTGTATGGTAGCCGCCATTGCTTCATGCTAAAAGCAAGCACGACCCAGAAACTAGCAGCAATCGCGAGAAGATGATGACGACAACGACGAGTACCGGACAGTTGCTTCTGCTGGACTAGAACTACGACGACGACGCCGACGACGACAACGACGACGACTACTACTAGTTACTACTGCTTCGACTAGTGCCTCTGCTGGTGCTGCCGCTGTTCAAAAGGCTTCATTCCCACTTTTGCACTCGCCTGGGTTCTAAACGCAATATTGCTGGCCAGGAACCGGGTTTTTAACAGGAGTAAGCAGGAAAAACAGGACTACTACAGGAAGGCCTAGAAGGGAGAGAAGGACAGGCGGGCTCCTTTGCCGGGCCGCAGCCTGCATCCCGAAAGTCGACTTTACGCCTTGGCCTTGTCTTGTTCTCACTGTAGGCAATCAGACGACCGGATGGCTGGGGCGAGCAAGGTAAGTCCAGAGCCCCAGCCTGTTGGCGCATAGGTGTTCAGTGCTTGAGTCTCGGTATTGAGATGGGGATTGGGTGGTTACGGACGTAGGATCTAGGTCCTTCGTGTGGGTGGTCTGCAAGGGTGCGGGCTGTTCGGAGTTGTAGACACTGGTCTTGACATCGCTTTCGATTGACATGTCAAAGTAGTATTGGACGGGACGCTGCAAACTGCATAATCCGGGCATCCAGATGGGAAACTGCGTGCTGAGTCCGGAAGAGCATTTCCATGCACATTCGGAGCAAGTCGGCATGATGTTGGTGGTCAGATGTCCGAGGTCGGATGTTTGCACGGTTCGAAAATTTACTCATAAGGTATCTGGATGTCGCACTGGTTTGCGGAGCCTTGTACCAAGGGGGAAGAGCAAAGGGAAAGAAGAGCAAGGCCAGCTTCCTGTCTTGTGCTTCTGTGTTTCCGTTTGCCTTGGATCGAAGGTTCAACTTTTCCAAACCGTTCGGTTATCAGAGATTCTCAGAGCTCTGAGCTCCCAAGCCAGGCAAGGGCAAGGCGAAGACAGGTGCCTACAAGGGCCCGGGAAAGCCAGTGCCTCGGACAGGGAGACACGCTGGAGGAACAGCACTTGAAAGTTCGCAGCGGAGCTTTGCATACTCACTAGCCGATGAACGAAGCAGCTCAATTTGAGACCAGAGTGTGTACGTACAATCTAAGCATCGAACATGACGTCGACTTCCAGCCCTGCAGTCCGGTTACACGGCTGCAGGGTTGAGTGCGTTGGATGTGCCAGGAGCACTGGAAAGTGGAGCGACGAGTATGTGGAGGAGCTCTTGCTTGGCAACTTTGTGCCTGGGTGTTCACTTTTTGCTTTCGTCGGGATCGGACGCGTAGAAGGGCCGAGACAGCAATCAGAGGTTATTGGTTATTAGTAAGTTATTAGAGCTCTGTCGGTTGCAGACCTTTGAGGGTTGTCAAGCCAGCTCTAGCATTATCTCAAACTCAGGCTCCTGTCCTGTGCCTGTGCATGGCTGTGCTGTTCTCGTTGAGCCCACTGACCAATATCAGGAGCTCCCGCAGGGCAAGTTCGGCAAGGGGGGCAAGGCGGTGCAGGCAAGCTGCAGAATTTTACCCTCAACCTCTGCTGCTCCGTGTCCATGCGAAATCAACAATGAGGTGTAGGTTGTGGTTCTCCCTCCACCGCGGCGTCATACTGATCTGGGACTTCCTGACTGTAAATAAAGCCTAGTGAAACGGTCGAAGCCTTCTTCATCAACTTTGGGTGTTTCTGTCAATCAGGACTCTTTCGACTCCGATTCCTTCAACTAGGGTTGACGGTTTAGGGTTTAGGGTTTGCTAGGGTTTCGGTTTTAGGGTTGAGGCTTTAGGCTTTAGGGTTGAGTGCATCTGCTGGGTACAGTTGACAGAAACCACGGGTGACTGTTGAAGGAATCTAGGGGGGAAAGTTGAAAGAATTTGTTTGTGACCTGAGTGAAACGCGGAACAACTAGCCACACTCCAACAAGACAAGAGGGAATCTTCCTGACCAGAGGCCCCCAGGCCACCCCCGCCGAGCTCTTGGCAAGATGAGCCTCTGCCGTGGCAGGCGCGGCTTCGTGCAGCTTAGGATGCTTCGGGTGTGAGGGTTGCAAGGATTTCTTTTTGGCGGCAGCGGTGGCAGGGGTTGTAAAGATATACAGGGTGTGGCGCCTTCTGCACAGTGGTCTACGGATGCAGGCTGAAGTTGGGTTTTGTGACTGGGAACCCGGGCGTTTCATCGTTACATCCCGCACCTCGCTGTCGCTACAAATCTACCTACCTCGCCCACCCAGCGCTGCAATCTTTCAGGGTTTGGCTTTCACCGGTCAGACCCTCTGCTGTCCCTAGTCTTGCTTGAGGGTGTGTTGACTCGGCAGCTATGTGCATCGCTCAAGAGTGACAAAACCATAGCTTCATCTCTAATCTAGTCATAAGGGACTTGGGATTTCCATGTTGATCAATCGAGCCGGGATGTTCGTCCATCCTTGAGCAGCGCGACGTCTTGAATCCAAGCATGCAAAGAGAGAAAAAGAGCGAACGAAAGGAAGAGAGGGAGTGATAAATGTCCCGGGCTCGGTTGCTGTTGTTGAAGGTAGGGGGACAAGTGCCGGCTGTAGGTCCCATGTGGGGAATGCGTCCGTGGAGGGTCTAAGGATTTAGCCATAGACGGCCCGGCGATGAGGCCGGGAGGTGCGATACAGGGTTTTGGGGGGGTTCCTCGACGAATGCACTCCACCGCCTAAACCAACCGAAGGGCACAAACCCGCGCATAGACCCCAAGGCCTCATTCCCGGGGCCTCGGCCCGGGTCTGCGCGAGCAGACTTCTCTCCGACAGAAGGGAGGAAGGAAGGAAGGAAGGAAGGAAGGAAGGAAGAGAGAACACATAGAGAACGAATAACGCAAACCAAAGACAGGAAGAAACAATTGAGTCATCAAGAATTAGATAATTAGATACATTGCGCAAGAAAGAAATCAGGACACCGACACAAAGAAGTAGCACTGCACAAAGCAATGGTTAACGACATGTAGAACGAACGAGAGCCAGCACAACAGATAATTACCGAAATGAAAACATAAAGACAGAGCCAGTCACATAGGTAAAGAAGTCAATAAAGAACGAGTGAACGAAAGACAATAGCAAGTAGCGACAAAAAGAAAGGACGACAGAACGAAATACTTGAAACAATGAAATAAGTGAAGAAACAAATAACTGATGAACGAAAGCACGAAATACCCAAAGAAAGAAATACAGCAATGAGCAAGCAATGAAGTAACGAAGGACTTTACTTCAATAACACAAGACAGAAGTACCTAAATAACCAATTGAATGAACAAAGAAAGACAGATATACCTAGATTAAGTCGAAAACAAATACCTAGATACATGCATAAAAATGACGACATGTACCAGGAACACGTGACAAGAAAGAAAGACACGAGAGCGTCCGACGAACTTCGGCGCCTTCTTGGGCTCCTGTTTAGGGTTTAGGGCCTTTAGGGTTTGGGCTTCCGGTGGTGGCTCCTTGGCAGTCGATCGGTCCTCCGTCGGACTCTTGGTTGTATCACTTCGTATGACATGCCATCTTTCGAAACCATCTGACAGTTGAGTGAAGCCGTGTTTGCCCACGTGCGGGTCTGGTGTTGGTTGAGGACGAGGGCTTCCGCAGAGTGAGATTTCGATTCGATTTTACCCATGCTTCCACATGTTTTGCCAACGATGAGCCGCTCAAGTTTTCCGTTCAGGCGGTACATGTCCCGTGCGGTCGTGTCGGCGTCGGGTCTGTCGGTGACTTCTCTCCTGCTTCATCTCGGCCCAGCGCGGAGTGCCTGTCCCCGATACACAGTGGAAGCTTCGATTGAAACATATGGCTATCTTGCAACTTTATTTTTAGGAAGTTGCTGCTCTTAGTGCTTTGAAAGATACAAGCGCGGATGCCAAAATTCGTATTCGACATGTCCTCGAGCTCTACCCCTTTCTGGTCTCGAGCTCCTGACCTTAATGCAGCTCCGAACACACCCGTTGCCTTTTCCTTGCAGACGGTCCAACTAAGACGTGAAATGCAGGATCTACACTTCCGACATAGCTGATGATTCGCTGAAGCTGTGATGGCTAATATTTTTTGTTTCGGCTTCGTGTGCGTGCCCTCGGTTTGCATAGCGGCCAACGCATTGCGTCAATCACTATGTGTTCCAGTGGCGGAGCAAAAAGAAGGGCGACGAGTGGAGGCCAACCATGTTTTACAGTGTGTGGCATGGTTCATTTAAACATTTCTAAAGAGGAGTGGTAATGTTCACTCTGTATATCGAGCTCCGCAGGGGTTCCAGCTTCGAACAATCTGGGTTAGGGCCCCCACGACATCTTCGTGCGACAGGCACTGTCAAGGGTTCGCCTGTCAGGCCGCAGGTCGGGCAGCTCCTGTCGCCCCTCCGGCTGCTGACATTGCAGACGAAGAAGGCAGAAGGCGGCTCGGCGGGCCGGGGTGGTCACCTCCGGAAGCAGCTCCGGCCAAGACTTGACTCCAGTCTGTAGACTTGAGTGTGGAGGTTTGAGACTTGGAGAGTGCCATGTTTTCTTGGAATCCGGCATTTACGCTCACACCGGGTTCGACAGGAAAGGTGGAGCTGATGGCAAGGCCCCAAAGATGAAATGGGTGCAGCTCTCAAAGTTGCATTTCCACCGACGGTATAATAATTTGTGATCCTTATCGTGATGTCCTGCGCTTTGAACTCTAGCAGTGCTCCTGCTGAGGCTATCAAAAGCCAGGCCAGCAGCATTTTGACTGGGGTGCCCAAGTTTGAGAGCTTCAGTGCTGTCAGAGCAGGGTTCTTGCTAGCCATTTGCGAGCAACATCCGGTTCCATTCTGAATCTTTTGGCACGGGGTACTGCGCTCCAGAATCTCAGAACGAATGTCTGTATCTGCCATGACAATAGAAATTTACCATAAGTTGAACAAGGGGCACGCAGGAATGCACGCAAGGCATAGCCTTCTTCCTCCTGAGCCTTCAAGGCCAGCCGACTGCTCGACATCTCGAGTTTTCAGAAGACATGACTTTCTGCAGCGACAAATCTCGGCATGAGCAGAGCTACATGGATGTTGTGAATCTTTGATGAGCACAGATTTGCTGAAGACTTAGGTGCCTCGGGCTCGCAGACCTCAGGCGTGCTGTTTACGAATCTCCGTTGCATAGTCGACGCCTCAGGTGCAGGGCTGGTTGTTTGCATCGCTTTACCCTCTAAGTTTATCAAATCTCGTCAGTTTTCATGGAGGTTCGATCGATGCATGTTGACGTGATCCGAGTGCTGAATGTGCGACCCAGGTACTCTGCCGCTTGCATGAGTACGTCAGTCTCACCTGAGAACCTGCTATGTCCATGTTGTAGTTGTGTAAGAACAGCGGATGTGTTCCTTATGGTAGGGCACCTATGGCTGTTGATATGAACGCATCTCATTGGTCGCACTCAAGAATTGCCAACCTGTTCCATCAAATAGGACTTGTCTGTTGAGGCATGCCTAGATCAAGAACCAAAGCTACAAAGAGCCTGTACACTACCGGAATGCAACGGGCAGGAATCCGACGTGAAAAGGTTCCAGCAGCAAAGTATGGTTTGTGACTGATCAGTCCTCTGCGTCTTGGCGTGTTCGCTTCTCTGGGTCACTCGCAGCTTGAAGTCAATCCCTCATGTGCATGTGTGTGCCAGTTGAACCGCTCCGTCGGTCGAAATTTCGGCTTGCTTTCGGGTCGCAAGCGCTGTTGACGGTTTGGCGCAACCGCCGCAGCCTCATGGCTATGGCTGTTGCAGTCTTGGGCCTTGGGCTGTCTGCTCTTTCATGGATGTCGCGGTTTTTGAGGTCCAGAGCCCGCGGCTGGCTTAGAGAGCTGCGCCCAGCAGGAAAGCTTTGCCAGATGACTGAAGAAGTGCTGGCCTCGGTGATACGTGAGACAGTTGTGCCTCTCTGTGTGTGAACCAAGCTCCAGGCCGAGAATGGAGACACGGCAGAGGTCGAGAAGCCGACCGATGTTGAGGCTGCAGAAGTCGTTGAGGCGGAATGCCTTCTTCGGCGCAGATATTTTGCTCACTGATGGTTCCGATATCCATGTTGGAGGATCTTGATGCCGTCAAAGAGGATCCGAAGCCAAAGCGTCAGCGGCGCAATCGATGGGGTCAGGCAGCGTTCATGCCGTATGAAGTGACTCAACGTCATGGAGGCGAGAATTGTCTTCCTTCGACAGGAGCCAGAAGCCCCTCCTATGCCAAGCGCTGATGACCTGGCACTTGCACCATTGATGAGCAACTCCCAAATGTTTGTTTGTGCCTAACCCGACCAAACCTGCATCCTGTCCCCGCGGTGCCTCTGCCAGGCATGGACACCGCGGCTCTGGGTCTTTTGCCAGTGCAGCCTGGAATGCTGCCTTGGCATGTCTTTCTTGGCATAAGTTCCGCTTTGTTCGCTCTGAAACATCAGGGGAGCCACGCCTGGTGCCGGGGCGTCGCTGGACAGAAACCGAAAGCCCTGTGGCGTTTCAACTCGTTTTTTCGCGCTCGTACTGTCACTGCCGCTACACTTTGACCCACAATGTGGGACAAATAGAGCTCGGATCCTTGATCTGACCGGAGGACTTGTCAGCTGCAGCACAAGCCGCTCGAGAAGCCCTTGAGAAGGCCTCTTCCACCCGCGATGCAGCGCCTGAAAGCCAGTGTGTCCTGGCTTGTGCAGGCAAAAAGGGCGGCCATGTTCCAGCGTCAGATCCAAGAGCAGATGGCGAAAATCAAGGGCCAAGGCAGATACTGCTCTGTTCATCTGCTCCTGTGTACTGAACCCACCCAAACCCAAATGCGCAAGGCCTTGGTGGAGGCTTCATGGGTGCAGAAGCACCGAAGGTGTGGAGCTCAGGCGACACACGGGTTTCAAGAAGGCCCGGAAGGTCAGCGAAAGGCGAATCGCTGCAGCTCCTCGCAGGTCTACATCGATTTTAGGGTCTTTTCGTGCTTACTCACGTAGACCGTCGGATCATCGACCGAGCAACGCCAGCTTGAAGGCACTTGTGCGGTTCGTGCAACTGTGATGAGACCATGCTTCTGGCAATTGCGTGATGCAAGCAGCCATGGCACTTATCAAAAACGTTCAATCTAAAACTGCGTAGGGGCGGTGGAGGTCCCGGGGCTCGAGTTGCGTGAGCCCTAGGCGAGAAAGCTGATCCTCGATGAATTCGGCCGCGAGCTGGACGAGGACGGACAGGTCGTTCCCATGAAGCCGCAGGCCAGGGCCCGGGGGTTTCGGGTGGGTCTCGCGCGCGGATTCAAGGAGGTGCTAACACGCCGGCAAAGTGAATCTCCGACGCCCCCATGGGTGTGCTGCACTGTGCAGCAGGCTTTTCCGGGAGGCCTGCTCCAACTGTTCCGATAAGAACGGCCAGCTGAAGCAGTGCAGTCGTCGTCGTGCAGATAACAAAGGATCGCAGTGAGGAGGTGTGCGCCATCGTTTGGGAAAGAGCTGCTGGGGCAGAACACGGAACACGGACTGAGCAGGTAAAAAAGACATCCTGGATTCGCTCCACACCAACATGACGGTGACCGCTTGTTCTCGAAGCGAAGACTGCAACCCCGAAAGCCACAGCCACAACGCATTAAACCCGTTCAATTTCCCAAGCCTGGAAATCATCCCAGGGCCATAGTCTAGGATGTCCAAACGGCCGGCAAATATCCCAAACTGGAATCACCTTTAGACCTTTTGAGCCGTTTTCGCGCAGGTGGTCAGCACCCTCAAAGTGAACATCAACCGTGAGAAGGAGGCCAGGCTCAAGAAGATCCTGGGCCTGAAGAAGGAAGCGGGCCCGCTGCAGCTTCGTGTTTTCGAGCATCACGGCAAGGCTTCGGGTGAACTGCTGTCGTCTCGGGTTTGCAGCCTGCACTGCGAGACTGGAGAAGGCTAAAGTATCAAGAGTTTGACGGCCCTGGCTAAGAACTTCCCTCCCCAGCTCGCGAGGACGGTGCCGGGGGTGAGAGCTCATACTTCGACTCGACCCTCAAGGTGAAGGCTGGCGGGAGAGGGTTTCAAAGTTTCCTTAGCAAATCTCAGTGGCAGGAATAGAACAAACATAAAGCCATGAAGACTTAGGAGAACCCTCCCAAGAAGAAGGAGTGATGGGAAAAGAGAAGCACCTTTTCTCCAACCTCACATCGCACGCACGATGCGAAGCTCGAGATGCCAGAAGCTTGAAGCATCCGAATGGCCTGAAGCCGCGTCTGAGACAGGAAAGATTCGAGCGGCAGAAGCGACGAAACTTCAGGCCAGCCTTGAAGTTGTCCTTGTATCCGGGATGCCAGAGGTATGAGGCTTAAATGGGCTGAGAGGTTTTGACGAGTTCTGTGTCAGGAGGCTTGGCGCAGGAGTGTAGGTAGTCCGGCATGGGCATGAACTCCAAGCCTGGCACACCGTCTCACCTGCATGCCAGCAGCGAAAGAGATCTGGGCATTGTCTTCGTGTGCCGTGAGGTTCATTGAGGAGGGTGAACTAGTGAAGAAGGAGCAGAAGATGATCAAAAAAGTTCAGGAGAAGGCCTTTCTACTTCTTCCCCAGGCGCAGATGAAGCTGCGCCTCTGACAGGCCCTAGGCATCGACAAGAAGGACGACAAGAAGAAGAAGGAGGAGGAGCAGAAGAAGCAGGAGAAGAAGCAGGAGGAGGAGGCCGATCTGGTGACTCTGGCAGGTGGCATTTGCCGGCTGGTGCAAGCAATTCCTACTCCTTGACACGGTGCATCATTACAATCACGAACGAACACCACCCGTGTCACTTTCATTGCTGTGAGCCCTGTGAGCCTTCAGGAAAAGGAGCAGCCGGTCAAGAAGATCGAGCCCAAAGTCATGAGGACTTTGAACTCTTTGGGTGCGGGTGACATCCTGTGACGGGCAGTGAAACGTCATCCGTCCGGCAGGAGAGAGCCCATCCCCGATGTCGAGTGGCTGCCGACTCGGCAAGTTCGTTTTGTTCTGCTGGTGCTGGGCGCCGCTCGTAGTTTTGTTCTTTAACGCAGCTCGTAGACCTCTGGAAATTGTTGGCAGACTTGGCTTCAGAATAAACTTTTGTCATAATTTAGTGTTAGGGACATTTTAGGGTTCAGAGCTCAGAAGCTGTTGCGTTGTTGCATCGAGAGCTCGCGCTTCACAGCATAGCTCACGCATCCCAAGGTGGGACGCTCCCTTCCTCAAGGAAGACCAGTATGGCCAGAGGAGAACCTACACCGAGGCCGGCAGGGAACACCCCTCCAACAAAAGCATAATTTGTCTTGTGGTCCCACCAGGCTCTGCATGCCTTCTAGCACGCGTCGAAGACATCACAATATTTTGACGCTTCGTGGCAGGTGAATGTGGAGAGGATCACTCCATATGTGGAGCATCCGATCCCCATCAAAATCACCACGGAGAAGGAGGCTGGCAAACTATGGCCTACTTAAGTTCCGTCGCCCGATATCAAGCGATTCCACACTCACTGATGTCAATCATTCCTACGTTCCAAGACTGGCTAGCTGCAGAAAAAAAAGGTTCTTCAAATGTAACCTCAACTAGCCCTACGCCTCACTCACAGACTCTCGCTGAGAAGCGATGTCAGGGACGACGACGACGTTGATGCCGACGAGGACGACGACGACGAGGAAGATCACGACGATGAAGACGACGAGGACGATTACGACGATTACGACGATGAAGGAGACGAGGACGACCACGACGATGAGGACGACGAGAACGAGGACGAGGACGATCACGGCAACGACCACGACGACGACCACAACCAAGACCACGAGCACGACCACGACCACAACGACCGACCACAACGACCACGCCAACACCAACAGCAACACCAACCGCACCAACCGCACCAACCGCACCAACCGCACCGACCGCACCGACTGCATCAACCCGCATCAACCCGCACCAACCGCACTGACCGCACCAACCGCACCAACCGCACCAACCGCACCAACCGCACCAACCGCACCAACCGCACCAACCGCACCAACCGCACCAACCGCACCAACCGCACCAACCGCACCAACCGCACCAACCGCACCAACCGCACCAACCGCACCAACAGCACCAACCGCACCAGCACTAGCACCAGCACCAGCACCCGCACCAGCACCAGCACCGGCACCGGCACCGGCACCGGCACCGGCACCGGCACACCACCCTTCACCTGCACCTGCACCTGCTCCTGCACCTGCACCCACACCTGCACCTGTACCTACATCAGCACCTACACCACCATCAACAACAAACAAGAACAACAACAGTTACAATAGCAAAAACACCACCACCAGCACCACCAACAACAACGACACCAGAATAAGCAACAGCAACAGCAACAGCAACAGCAAGAGCAACAGCAAGAGCAAGAGCACGAGCAACAGCAGCAGCCACAGCAACAGCAGCAGCAGCAGCAGCAGCAGCAGCAGCAACAGCAGCAACAGCAGCAGCAGCAGCAGCAGCAGCAGCAACAGCAACAGCAACAGCAACAGCAACAGCAACAGCAACAGCAACAACCACTACAACTTCTGCGACGACAACTACTTCTACTTCTATTTTGGTTAAAACGTCAGTATTACTACATCATACTGCTACTGCTACTACTAGTACTACTACTACTACTACTACTACTACTACTACTACTACTACTACTACTACTACTACTATTACTACTACTACTACTACTACTACTACTACTACCACTAGTACGACTACTACTACTACTACTACTACTACTACTACTACTACTACTACTACTACTACTACTACTACCAGGCTGAAGAGTTCCCATAGGCCATAAAGGGTGACACCGTTCAGAGCCATAAACAGTGTTCTTGCATGGTGGGAACGGGGCACGCTTCCGGTTTGCAAGTGCCTAAGAGCTCCAACGTTCAACATGCCAAAGCCCAAAACGAGGCGCCAGAAGCTGCCATGATGCACCTGACGCCCAAGGACGCTGGGTTGCAGTTCAGGGTGCAAGATGTCAAAGTTGATTCCCGGAAGACTTGCTTGCGGGGGGGTCTTCTCTGTCGTGATGTGCCGGTCAGGAACATGCAGTGTTTCCGACGGACGAGCAGCATTAGTCTTTATCCCGTCAAATGCTGTTTAAACTTCAACTTGTCCAGGGTATGTCTCAAGATGAAAGGCTATGCACAAGACAAAAATCTCGCGAACTCAGTCGCTTGCAGAAGGGCTCCCACGACATGTGCAGAGTTGCACCAGCAAGGCAGCCAATGCATACAGGGTGATTAATAAATATGATGTTGCAGTGTTCCCAGCCGCTTCCGGGACAGCACCACGTGCCGAGCAGCTGTCCGAGATTGCTGCTGGCTGCACAGTCGCAAAGTGCGGTGCGAAGCCCACTGCAGCCAGGGTGCCTCCTCTCTGTGGCAGTGTGCCTCGCGGATCTGCACGTGTGCAGAGCCGAGCGCAGAGCACACCTGCGCGACCGCTGTCGGTGCCGCTTTCGTTCTGGTGCAGCGCCTGAGAGTGCCCCGAAAAGAAGTACGTCGATTATTGCTTCTCAGCAGATTCTCTTCGCAGCTGCTGGGCCAGTGGTCCTGCTGGGGCTTTTGACCGGTCCGTCGGGATCACTGGGATCGCTTATCGTGGACATGGATGGCTTTATTCATCAGCTCACAAGTGCACTCTCCCCGGAGGATCACCAATTCTTTGGCGTCGTGTCAAATCGCTTGGACGATGTCGCCCAGTCAGTGGCAGTCTTGGTGGCGGTTGCCTCATCCATTGTGCTGCTTGCAGATGGAGGTTTGCCATGGGTTTTCTCGTCAGCAGCAGGTCTTGAGAGTATCAGATTCCTGCAGCGGCTATTGAAAGAAGCTTTTCATCGAAGCCGACCGACTGCTTTGTTCACAGACTTTTCTTACCCCTCCGCACACACTGCGAGATTTGCTTTCTGCGTAGCGCTTGTCTTCTGCGTGTTGCTACCCAAGCTGGCAAAGAAATCGACAGAGCGCTTTGCGTCAACCGAAATGTGGTTCACAGCTGCGATTCTGTCATGGATCCTCATGGGATCCTTACGTGTTCTTGCTGATGCCCACTGGCCAAGTGACACACTCGGCGGGGCCTGTCTTGGGATCAGTGTGGCCGCCCTTTCTGACGTCCTCTGGAGCCAATTGGTTTTTCTTCTCGCGGACGCAAAATGTTAGAGCTGGGCGCAGATCTTACAATAAGTCAAACCTGAAGCCCGGACCGAAGCGGGGGTGCACCATTCCGTTGTTTCCAATCTGAAGACAATGCAGACAAAGGCCCACAGATCACATCGAACATGTGGGTGCCTGCAGCTCTGGGGACTCTGAAGCGACCCACCCCAACACTACCTTACAAGCCCGCATAAGCAGCCATCAAGGAGCGAAAAAAGCTCAGACGCTTGAAGCGTGCGGCCCTTTACCACTTCCATTTGCCTGGTTTTCACGTTGCTCGAAGATTTTAGCAATCTTTAGCAGTTTAGAGCCTTAAGCTCGTGTCGGGGACTCTTCAGTTTGGAGAAAAGCTGACGATACCTTGAAAAGTAGAAAGACATCAGGCATCCGACTGGGGTGTGGTTTCGTCGCTGAATCTGCTACAGACCACACATCCCACAGCCTAGTTTGCATCGAGGTCAGGAGCGAACGCAGGAGATCCGTGACAAGATTAAGATGGGTATCCTGCAGGCCCCGCCGCCGAAGGCCTGCCGAGCCGCGTTGCATAAGCTGCAAACCTGGGTGAGTCAGGACGAACTGTTTCACGAACTTGTTTGACCTGCCAGGTAAAAATGGCGAACCTAATGCGTGTCCTGGGAGACGAGGCCCGAGCTGAATTAGGCAACCGCGAATCTAGACTGTCCGAAGAGACCGTTTTGTATCGTGTATAGCATCTACTTGTGGCAGGAGGACGCGAGGGTCATGCTAGATGTCGCCCACATACCATACAGGGTTACTTCAGTTACGTATCGACGTGCTTCTCTGCAAGCATACCTTCGGACAGCCTTACATTCTGATTTCTGCCACTACTCGTCCACGCTTGCAGGCCATTGCTGACCCTTCTACAGTTGAGAGGAAAGTCAGGCAGGATCCGAGGGAATATCCATCAAACAGAAATCCCCGATCACAACATGAAGTCACCATGAGGCTTCACAAACTTGCCAACACTTGAACAAAACGTTTGGCGTCTGGGCTGCACTCTCAAGCTTTGCCTGGCCTTGCTCTAGTACTAGAGCTAGGAGTAGCAGAAGTAGTAGTCGTAGTAGCAGCAGTAGCAGTGGAAGTAGCAGTAGCAGCAGTAGTAGTAGCAGTAGTAGCAGCAGCAGCAGCAGCAGCAGCAGTAGTATTGCGTTGCATTGCCAATGTCTCGCACCCGACCTGCGTTCGACGAGGGGACAGCTCCACAATCCTGGACATAAAGGGCTAAGTCGATACTAATCCATCTCATCCAGCCGTATGGGCCTCTGGATGCCTCCTCACTGCCCCAGATCTTGTTGCCGGCCTGATGGCAACCCTGGAGACGATCCTATCTGCTTTGGGTTTGTGATTTCCTCGCGACGCTTTTTGTTGACAATGAGCAGCAATGCGTGTGCGTGCTGGCTGGTACTACTATACTGGTAGTACTACTTTTACTACTTGAGTACTACTAGTACTACGAGTACTACTACTAGTACGAGTACTAGTACTAGTACTAGTACTAGTACTAGTACTAGTACTAGTAGTAGTAGTAGTAGTAGTAGTAGTAGTAGTAGTAGTAGTAGTAGTAGTAGTAGTAGTGCTACTACTACCACTACTACTACTACTACTACTACTACTACTACTACTACTACTACTACTGCTAGTGCTTGTACTAGTATCGCTAGTACTAGTGTTAGTACTACTGCTACTACTACAACAACTACTGCTACTACTACCACTACGACGACGACTACTACTACTACTACTACTACTACTACTGCTACTACTGCCACGACTACTAGTACTAGTACCCGTGGTACTACTACTACTACTACTACTACTACTACCACCACCACTACTGCTACTACTACTACTACTACTACTACTGCTACTGCTACTATTCCTACTACTGCTACTACTGCTACTAATGCTACTACGGCTACGACAGCTACTACGGCTACTACTAATACTACTACGGCTACTACTACTGCTACTGCTACTGCTGCTACTGCCTCGGCAGAGCGAATGATGTTTTCTGCAGGTACCTACGCGGGCATTCAAGTGATGGAATGGGCTGTGGGTTTCGGGCAAACATGTATGCTATTTCAAGAAGATGGTTCAACAAGAGAGACGCTCCAATTCTGCACCTGTCTGAATAGCGTTGTCGCGCGAGGCAGCAGGTGGAGCAACGGCGGAAGGAGCACGAGCAGCGCAATGAGGCCTCTGCCACAACGGGGTTAGAGCTTTCAATTCATCTTTGCAATTCTTCGCAAGAGTTGTAGAACACTTTGGAGACTTCTTGCCAGGCGCGCAGGCTCCCCGCAGAAGAACGAAAGCAGAAGAAGAAACAGAAATGGCTCCTTTGCTGCAATGGCTCAAGATCGCCTTTCGCGGAGCCGCTCTGCAATCGCCTTCAATCTGAGTGCTGCATCGTAGTGGAAGCATCTCCACTTTGATGCTTGGCCTTCGGCCAACTGAGTTGAGGAATTCTCCTTGTAGGGCCCTGCATGGTGCTATTGGTCGTCAAGCCAGGATGGCCGAAGGCGAGCCGGTTGTCCAGGCACGCAGGGCTTTGCAGGAGTGCTCATGGAGTCCATGCTGTTGCCGTTTCGATGTGTTTCCATTCTTATGTTTTGGCTGCAGGCCTTGGGTGCTTTATTACAAGCTTCTGAGTTCAAGAGTGGCCTACTTGTTTCCACGAGCATTCGTTGCCAGGTGAGCCCATACTCCTAAACAAACCCCCTCGCAACCCCTCACAGGTCGCTGGAGATCTTGAAGCCTGAAGTACACAACCCCAAGATCCCTGCACGGAGGTGCTGGTCTTCAAGATTAAGGACCTTGCGAACAAGAAGCACGGGCCCCGGGCGGAGTCTGAAAGACTGAAGGTGAAACCTTAATCATGGACTGGTGTGCGTTGCAGATTCATGCAGTTTGTATTTAAAGGAGGCAGGGAGTGCCAGTCCAGGCACTTGTTCAAGATCGACATGAACGCACAGTGGAGCCGCCTTGTTTCAACAAGAGGGCCCTGTTATCTAGCACTCTGCACTCCTCTTCCGATGCCCTGAGCCCTTTGCGGAATGGTGGAGGCAGTTCCACCTTACCGGTTGCTGCATAGCCTGCCCTGGTGCCATAGCCCCAGCCACTATAGAGTGTTTGCGGCTGGCAGATAGAAGCTCAGAGCTTAGGTCGCCAACATCGTCGTGGTGGAGGGTGGCCCACGTGCCGTCAAGCGATACAAGAAGCTGATGATCAGGCACTTCCGCACACGAGACCCGGCCCAAAGTCAAGCCAATAGCGCCCTAGGTTCTCTAGAAGCTCCTCCGAATGCCTCACAACCAATACAAGCTGTTCAGGCGGATCAAGTGGACGGAAGAGCAGGCCGATGAGGAGTCATCTTCGGCCGCTTGCACAAGTGGGTCGAATTGCTCGATGGCTTTTCTTCGCTGGTTGTCTCACGGAAGGACGACGACGATGAGGATCAGGATGAAGTGACGGCCCCCAAGCTCCAGGACCACTGCGTGCGCGGCTCAGAGCTGACTCGAGCCTCGAGACCCACAGGGAGCTCGGGACTCGCTGGGGCCTCTGGGCTTTTTCTTGCCAGGTCCTTGTCTGGGAAGGCGTGGTGAAGCAGCGAAGCTTCAAAAACTGGAAGGCACCTTGCAGAGTCTTGTAGTGGATGCTGTTTGTGGACCACGAGACGGCGGCCCATCGCCAGGTGAGCCACGTCAGGAACGAGCCCGAAGCTCGAAAGCTTCTGAATGCCATGTGCCCAGTGCACTGCATCCGACACACAACTCTTCGGAAGTTTCTTGGGTGCCTGCCGGTGCTCTAGCTGCTTGCACAGACATGCCTTTGCAGGACAGGCAAGCTGACCACTACTGGGATGCCAACCGGGCCTTGTTCACTTGCTAGCTTTGCTGTGTGGCCTCTTTTATTTTCTGAAGCAGCTCTGCCGCTTGTGCCTTGTGCCAGATGCTAGCACGGTACCGTGACCCGCGGATGGACATCTGAGAGCTGGCAACTAGCGTTGAGACCCGGCTTCGTTGGGTCAGTGCGCAGGCCATCAGCCACCGCTTAGAATCTCGCAACCCAGCGAAGCGGCAGCTTTCCAATGTGTGGCTAGTACTCGGAGCTGCGCGGTTCCACGCTGCATTGCTATTTGCTAAGCCGGCTGGTGAACTCATGGGCCTATGCATGCAACTTCACCTGCCAAACAGTTTGACTCACGAACTTCAACATCTCTAGGTCACACAGAACTGATCGGGTCCTCAGCGGACCATGTCTCCCAGTGACTCGAACAGCTCCCACGGCGACCGTTATGCTGGTGGCACGGAAGTGCTGCTCCAGTAGCCAGGAGTTCGCATGAGTGCGGTGGCGGTCTTGAGAGCACGGAGTGGGACGAAAAAGACCTTTCGGCAACCATGAGGCACGCGGCACGATGCTGTGCCTGTAACATTCAGACTTTCCCGATCCGCGGAATCCGTGCAGCTAGTGGGCTCCAAGCTCCCAGCTTCTTCCTCGAGTTTCGCAGATCGACTTGCCCAAGTACGATGCCACTTGGCTTGCGCGCGGGGGCTCGCCCTCAAGCCTGGTGCAAGAGAGAGAGAGAGAGAGAGGGGAAGCAACCCCTAGCACTCGACCCTCTCCCACAAACAAAGCCGGGGAGGGGGGGGCCTCGGCCCGGGTCTTCGGACCTTGCCCCGGATGCGAGCGAGCGAGCGAGCGAGAGAGAGAGAGAGAGAGAGAGAGAGAAAACTCGGACACAGGCGTAGCGCTCACGCGCAGGGGGGCAGGGTTCCGCGCTCTGCTTCCCACACGCCCTGCAAGCAAGCAAGCAAGAGAGAGAGAGACGAAGAGAGCGAGAGAATAGTATTCTTTTGCCTCTCGGGGTATGCGAGCCTGCACCCGTCCAACACATGCAGACGAATGGCGAGAAAGAGAAGCAAGTAGATATTTTGTCTCGAGCTCTGTTTGGCGTTCAGCTTTGGTGCTGGATTTAGTCGCGATTCGTTGGAGGTGTTTGGGTTGGGAGCACCCAAGCAGGCTTCGTGCATTAACTTCGCACATCTAGCTCGTGCTTAAGACCATGCTCACCAACCCCGCACTCGTCGTTGCGCTCGATTCTGAGGCCGACCCGAAACGTGAAGTGCGCAACACATATGCTGCAATGCTGTTCGATGCGGGCAGTACGATTAGTATGACTGACTAGAATGACACAAACCGACCTGCTCACATGCAACATGCCGAATTTTGCCTTCCAGCATCAATCGCCTTCGTGGGCATTTCTGCAGGATCATGTCTGGCGGCTTTTTTACGGAAAAGCTAGGTTACTGCGAGTTCATGTGGCTCAATCGTTGAGGACCATCCACGACGGCTGGTCTTTCCAGTCTTGAAATCTATTCACTTGAGAGAGCAGCCTCTGTTACAACGCGACGGTGTGTGTTGGTCTTGTCTCGTTGCCTGACGTGTCACAGGCGGAAGTGGTGCCGTCGTGTTGTAGATTTCAGTCATCTGGCCGAAGAGCCTTGGCGTTTCATACAGTGTGTGGGGGGAGCCTTCATTGTGAGACTTTCAGAAGGGGAGCACAGTTGGGTCGCACGCCCAAACGCCCAAGTACAGCAGAGCCCATCGAACAGGATTTTGGATGAGGCGGCTCGACTGAGCGAGGCGTCAGGACTTGCACGCGCGTTGTAACCTCACAAAGAAGTTCGATCCACTTCATGCTCAAAGGACGAAACAAGAAAGAGTGAGACTAAGAGGAAAATTGCTGGATCCATCTGTAAAGACAGGTTGCTCGACAAAGAGTTCGATCTTAAAGATGCCTAAGAACCAAGGATACAAACAATTGGCACGCACCTTGTGCATGGGGGGTTCATGGCCAATCTTAGAAGCACTAAAACAGAAGACACGGAGTGTGAGAAAGATGACAACGAAAAGGGCGGTGCACCGATTTCGCTTCATCTTGTCGTTGAGTCGTCGAGTGTACAGACGGGGAGGCAAGGCTGCACGGGGCAAATGAAGAGCACACATCAATGGGAAGACAAACATGTGCTGTGGTGGTTCTTCTGAATGTGCCACCGCGTCAGTTTTCAGGTGGGTTAAGTTCTCCGATACGGGAGTCTCGCTCATCGTGGTAAAATGTGGCCGCCAATGTGGCCTGGTGTAAGACCGCTTCTGTCTCCGAGCCATCAGCTTCCATGATCGTAAATCGTCGAAACCGAATTCTAGCCCAAGAGCAACAGCACTCAAGGTTGGCGCGCCGCTTCAGTGGAATTGCGCTTCGTGTGGGCAAGTCCCCTACGGCTCCTGTGGCACCTCTGGCCGCGGGCAAAAGGTGGGAGACATGTTGGGCTTCGGGGACAGGTTGGCCGAGCGTTTGCTTCCAGACTCGTCTGACCCGGGGTGAGGAAACAGATGTGTGTGGCTTTCGAGGGATCATGTCCACTGAGCAGCCCCGAATGCAAGTGAGAATTTGCAATGGAAATCAAGTTGGTGGCGAAGCTTGTGTTTAAAGCGTGTATAGCTTGCTCTTCACACCATTCCCCTCCAAACTCCTGCTCTTCTCGTCCGTGTTGACCACTGAAGGATCCCAAGTCTGCCGTTCCGTCTCGCCAAAGCCAGGTTCTTCTCTGAGTACCAGGGTCAGGAGGTGACCGATGATCAGCTGGTGAAGAAGCCGGGAGCTAAGTTCGGGAAATTCGGAAGGGGGACCAAAATGTCGAGAGATGCCTGAAAGGGGGCGAACATGCGTGCAGCATTGACATGAGATGTGTCTCTCTCTCGCTCTCTTCCTCTCTGTTGCTGCACTGCCAACAGACTGGACAGATGAGCATGCATATGTAATACCTGTATTCATATGTATATGTATATAATATGTATACATATGTATATGCATGTGTACATGTATATTATGTACATGTACGTGTATAGGTATATGTATGTGTCTATGTATATGCGTACGTGTATGTATATGCAGAGGTACATGTATATGTACATGTATGGGTATAGGTACACGTGCATGTAAATGTAAATATAGTAATATAGATGTATATGTACACACACACATGCATGCATACACACATACATACATATGCAAAAAGCACATACATGCGTTGGTACACACTCGCACAGAAGCAAACCTGACGATAAGGTGTGCGTCCATGTGTGCAAAGAACCAACACGAAGTCGATCCCATCGGAAGCCCGGGAAATTCGCCTAAGTGCAGCTAGGCACACTTGGAGGCTGAGGGATGTTTGCATGTTGGACACAGCGCTTCGATGTTCAGGGTTGGAGCGTGCGAAGGCCCAGCTTGAGACGTTTGTCAGCCCTGGCCTGGGACAAAAGCTCAGGCCTTCAGAGTCGAGCCCCTTGACATCTGAACGAAAAGTCCACCAGCGAAGCAAAAGCCCTCAAATATGCCTTACAACTGCAAGGGTGTAGCGGAGAATCCGCTCGACCCTGAATTTCAGTAAGCTCGGAGCTCGAAGCACAGCGCATCTGAGGAGCAATGACTGGGCTATTGAGGAAACCAACTTCTGCTTGGGTCCAGGCCTTACTCCTGCAAGTTTCGACCTAAGCTGCATAATTACCTACGTGCCTTAAGAAGCCAAGGGTTAAGGGTTTGTCGGCTCAGGATGTTCCATCAGTTTTGCACACTACAAGCGGAATGGAAACATACGCGGAAGTCATGATAATCGTTTCGGTCTGTCGGTGACCTACCAAGACACAGGGGGCCGGGCCACCTGCTCGTGTCAAACACTTAGGCCGCACAAGCTTTGTGCGCTTCAAGGAGACGGATGACCTGGCGTCCGGGCCTTGGATGATGATGATGACGACTGTTGCTGTGTTTGGTTTACAGTTCTTTGCTGCGGGCAGCTGGTTTCGAGGCGCCGTACCAAGCACCTGATGGACTGCCAGCTGTCGAAGCAGCACACCCGCCTTCGTGACGGTGTGCCGCAGAAGTTCTGACGCGTTGGTAATCGCAACCATCCGCTGGCCGTAGCACTTCTACCACCGCCAACATTCGCCTTAGCAGCCTCCTCTACCAATACTTCTACTATTGCTGCTGATGCTGCTGCTGTTGCTGCTGCAGAGACTACTACTACTCAGTACTGCTGCTGGTACTGGCACTACTACTACTACTACTACTACTACCACTACTTCCACTACTACTACTCAACTACTACTACTACTACGACTACTACTACTGGTACAACTACTACTACTACTAGTACTACTACTACTACCACTACTACTACTACTACTACTACTACTACTACTACTACTACCACTACCACTACCACTACCACTACTACTACTACTACTACTACTACTACTACCACTACTACTACTACTACTACTACTACTACTACTACTACTACTACTCAACTACTACTACTACTACTACTACTACTACTACTACTACTACCCAACTACTACTACTACTACTACTACTACTACTATTACTACTACTACTACTACTACTACTACTACTACTACTACTACTACTCTTGCTGGTACTACTACTACTACTACTACTACTACTACTACTACTACTACTACTAGTACTACTAGTACGACTAGTACTACTAATACTACTAGTACTACTAGTACTACTAGTACTACTAGTACTACTGCTGCTAGTAAAGCTACTTCCGCGAGAACAGCTGTAAGGTCTGCTATGACTAGCTTCTGCTTTGGCCTTCTGCTTCTTCCTGCCCGTCGTCGTTACCATCACCAGGCATCACTACCATCTCATCATAAAGGCAACTGTTGCCTGAAAACTTGGTCACCTTTTCAGAAGTCTTGTGGGTGTTTTAGGCCTTAGTTCAGCTCAGCTTGGATCCGTGTAGGGTTTCCCGGTCTGCGGATGTGGCATGTGTGGTGCTCAGATTTGCTTACAAACGTGGTGGTGGGTCTCGATTTTTCACCCGAAAGTTTTGTTGGTTGTTGGAACGCAAAAACAGTTTTAGTTGCACAGCTGATGTTCTTTTTGGGTGCGTGAACCATCG